GAGAGCACTTCCTGTTTTAAGCACTCTGCAGCAAAAGGCGTGTTTTGGGTGGTGGTGTTGTGATTGATTGATTGATTGATTGATATTTCATAAAATTTACGTAAGACTAGATAGTAGGAAAACTTCAAAGTGGTTTACAAAGAAGGAGGAGGAGGAGGAGGAGGAGGAAAATTATCACTAAAATATTTATAACCGTCATTTAAAACGTAACAGGTTAAAACCACAGTAAAATAGACAAACAAAATAAAGCTCCTACAAAGTTTCTAAACACAAGTAAGCTTGTCTAAACAAGAATGTCTTCAGCAGGTGCCAAAATACAGTGGTACCTCGGGTTAAGTACTTAATTTGTTCCGGAGGTCAGTTCTTAACCTGAAACTATTCTTAACCTGAAGACCACTTTAGCTAATGGGCCCTCCCGCTGCTGCCGCGCCGCCGGTGCACGATTTCAGTTCTCATCCTGAAGCAAAGTTCTTAACCCAAGGTAGCAGAGTCTGTAACCTGAAGCATCTGTAACCCGAGGTACCACTGTACAGTGAAGGCACCTTCATCGATATCAATAGGCTGGGAGTTCCAAAGTACAGGTGATACCACACTAAACTGGTCCTTACAGGTGTGGTGTGGTTGTGATGTGGCATTTGTAAAAGTGCCAATTCCAACAATTGAAGCAGTCACATGGGACCGATGAGGTGAGGTAAACTGGTCCTCAAGTTGTTAACGGCTGCACAAAATTCAGCCAAGATATGCATATTCCCCAAGGCCTGTTATCTCCCCTGTTATTTACTATCCATATGAAATAATAACATAATATCTATACATGTGCTTTAATATCCATATATTTATTGTCTATATGAAATCTCTGGGAGCTGTCATGGGGCGTTTGCAGGCAAGGCGTATGCCGATGACACTATTTCTCAATGACATCTGAATCGGGAGAAGCCGTGCAGTTCCCTAAACCAGTGCTTGGATGCAGTGGTGGAATGGATGAAGGAAAACAAGCTGAGCTTGAATCCTGGCAAAGATGGAGGCATTGTGGGTGAGGGGCTCCTGGGCTGGATAATTTGGCCTACCCTGGACAGGGTTGCACTCTCCCTGAAGGAGCAGGCTCACAGTATGGAAGTGCTTCTGAATCCAGCTCTGTCCCTGGATGAGGCCCAGGTAGCTTCAATAGCTAGAGGAGCCTTTTACTAGCTACTACTAGCAAAAGCTATGGCCGTTCGTGGGCCGGAAAAGCTTGGCTGCATTAGTCTATGCATTGCTTCATTCAAGGTTGCATTGCTGCAATGGGGCTTCCTGTGTGGGGCTTCCTTTGGGCTTGATCCGGAAGCTGTTGTTATTGCAGGATGCTGTGGTACGACTGCGGATAGGAGTATTGTCAGCCAAAGACGTGCACTGGTTGCCAATTTGCTACCAGGCAAACTTCAAGGTTTTGTTATTAGTTTACGAAGCCCTTAACAACTAGGGACCAAGACTGATTTACACTGTAAACTGGCGTGGAACTAGAACTATTACAGGTGCCACATAATACTTGTTCTCCAAAGGTGAGAAATTGATCTTTAAGTGTAGCAGCACCTGGACTTTGGAGCTCTCTGCAGGTGTCTTCCCTGTACTCTTTTTGGGTCCCGCTAAGAACATTTTTGCTCAGGCAAGCCTAGCCAGGCATGTGAAATGTTGACAAGTGTTTTAATCTGTTTTTTAGTTTATCGTTGGTTTTAATAATTCTTAAATAATTAAGTTACTTTTCACTGATGATTCCATTCCTTTTGTAAACCTCCTTTTGAGGTTGGCTATATATAGATATATGACATTCAAAAATCATCCATATTAATAAATATGAACTTTATAAGCATTTTTTTAAAACCCTCAATTTCTCCCAGCTTCAGGAGCAATTAATTTCTCCAGATTTCTGTACACAGTGCAGTGGCAAAAGAGCAAAAGTTGTTTGGTTTTCATTCCTCAGCAGTAGATTAAAATATCACAATAAATGTTACCAAGAAGGAGAAGAGAAGACTGTAGTTTTTAGCACTTTAAAGGCAGAGGTTGAAAAGCTATGGGGGGGGGGACCTTGAAAGAGTGTAATGAAACCAATTAGTTCCTGACAGCAATTCCTTAATTGGACAGATATTCAGATAGTTTTGTAATAGAAAAAGCCACAGAAAGCTTGTATACCAAATACTAACATCTTCATTTCCAGAGTAATGGGCACTGATACATTTACCCAAATAGTGTAGACCAGCCAAAAAAGAATAAAGATAGAACATACCAATCACTAAACAACCATCTTGTGAACTGTGGCAGTACACAGCAGACACTCATTTCCCCAAAATTATAAATACAGTCGTACCTTGGTTGTCAAACGCCTTGCGACTCAAACGTTTCTTTAGAACCTGAACGTCTGACACTGCTTCCGCAGCTTCCAATTGAGTGCAGGAAGCTCCTGCAGGGAATCAGAAGCCGTGCCTTGGTTTCTGAATGTTTTCGGAAGTCAAACAGACTTCTGGAATGGATTCTGTTTGAGAACCAAAGTATAACTGTACTGGGTGTTTCTGACGCCTCATGACTCTGGGGGGGGCATATCCAGGCACGTATATAGATTCTTCATTGCAAGAAAACACCAATTATTTCTCAGCTCACTGAAGAAAACACTATGAAACATCTGCATGAGTGGAGTTGTGCATGTTCATCCAAGCTGCTAATTTTTGTCATGGTGTAAACAGAAAGTTCACACATCCAAATATCCAGTTTTTTGCTTGGGATAGACACACAGTGCTTGCACATTAGCCACTTGTTTCCTGCATTGTTACACACTTTCAGAAATATTTCTGATTCCTCCTCCCATGGTTTTTAAATCCCTTTTCTAAAACTACCTGGGAAGTAGCACTGGAGTTTTCTTTCAATATTTATAGTCTTCCCAAACCCTCCATTTATAAATAACATTTTCTAGCAGCCAGTGCCATAAATTCAGCACTTAAAGGAATACTAGGGCTTTTGTCTTTATGTGAATCTCTGCAAAAAACAACAACAACCCAGTTTTGAAGGAGGGAGCTGCTTCTTTCCTGGTTCAGATGTTCCTAGTATAGAGCTCTGATCAGACATGGAGCTCCACACATGCAAGGCCTTTCCTCATTCCTCATGCATTCAAAGATGCTTACTATTTGATTGGGGCCCAACATGGGCGCAGGAGGCAACCTGGGGGTGCAAATTGTTCCTCTCCTGTGCAGGATGTCATCATTGCACTGGATATCTGCGCAGGAAGCTGGGAACTGCCTGTGACATTCAAAGCCCTGGTCAAACCAATTGTGTGCTGGTTGTGGTGGTGGGAATTGTGGGTGGCTCTGGTTGGTTGGTGAGCTGGCTGGTTTCAACCAGGTCTGCCCAATCTCTTTTAAATCGGCAGTGTGTGGCTTGGTCAGTGCTGTGAGCATAAGGTTTCTCCCCTCCTCTCTATAATTTTGGCTTTACCTGGGGTGGGCAGGCAGCATATGCTTAAGACCTTGCTATGGGGCTGTTTGGGGCCAGAGAGGAATTCTCCGGCAGACAAAACTGGGCCTGTCTGGAGGTTTTGCTTACCTAGTAGCAACTGTTACAACTTGTTGGCCAAAAAAAAAAAAAAGGCATTGGGTTGGATCCTTAGTCCAGAAAAAGGGTATGTGTAAGAGACCCCTCATCACTCCAGTCAAAGTGTCAGGGTGCCCCAGTAAAGGGGTCCAGGAGAAGGTTTCTGTCTGAAGGCCCAGATGAGGGTTAATGGGCCACAGAACCTCCCAGTGGTGTCCTGGAAGGATTGCCCAGAATCAACTCTCATTGTAGAGTGATCCTTAAATCCAGAATTCACCCTGAAGGATTAATCAACTAGCAAATGGTCAGGTTTATTCAGGATTTTTCCGGGGGTTTTCCAGGCCTTCCCTTCTCTGTTCAGGACCCATACCCAATGTCTATGCCAAAGCCTACTGACATCTGTTATAAACAAAGCTGTGGTTGTTTCGATCCCAATATGCTATTCTCATTCCACCCATCATACCCCTGTCTCCTGCGACCTTGGGTCACTGCGCCTGAGGTCTTCCTCATTCTGGACAGTGTCAGATGGAACTGCCCTGAGTTCATCTCCTTGACATTCAAGGTACTGCCCATGAAATGCAATAAATGAAGAAGCCGTGTTTCACAATTAGCTTGCTTTTCACCCATCTCCCCCATGTGGTATTGATGATAATAATAATAATCCTTTACGGTGATCTTTTCTAAAGGGGACACAAGTGGTGCTGTGGTTTAAACCACTGTGCCGCTTGGACTTCCCGATCGAAAGGTCGGCGGTTCAAGGCCCCACAACGGGTTGAGCTCCCGTTGTTCGGTCCCAGCTTCTGCCAACCTAGCAGTTCGAAAGCACGTCAAAGGGCAAATAGATAAATAGGTACCACTCTGGCAGGAAGGTAAGCGGCATTTCTGTGCGCTGCTCTGGTTTCGGTGTTCCGTTGCGCCAGAAGCGGCTTAGTCATGCTGGCCACATGACCCGGAAAAACTGTCTGCGGAAGCTGACAAAAGCTAGCTCCCTCGGCCTGTAAAGCGAGATGAGTGCCGCAACCCCAGAGTCGTTCACGACTGGACTTAACTGTCAGGGGTCCCTTTACCTTTACCTTTTCTAAAAGCACACTGAGACAAATAGCACAGTGTAATTTGTCCCAAATCTTTATATTCTACAGGTACAAACCATTTCTCTATTTCAGAGATATTAGGCAAAAGAAAGAGAGAAAGAGGGGAAAGTGTTAAAATCAATGTTCTCTCATTGCACCACTACCTTCAATCACACAACCACACACAGCTGCCAGGTCTTTCCGGGCCACTGAGGCTAGCATGCATACCTCAGCCACAAACCAATCAGAGGAGGTGTTGCCAAAGAAAGAGGGTGGCATGTTTTGTCATCACACTGAGAAACACTTCATTTTAGTAAACTTGACAGATTCTGAAGAATCAAGCAAAACTCACACTTTTAAAACTTAGTGACTCACAGTTGCAAGTTTTTGGACATCCTCATCAGAAGATCCCAGGGAGGCCAGTCCAATCTCTTGGGAAAACTGGGCAAATTTAGGGTCAGCGAGCAAAGGCACGTGCCCCAGAAGTTCATGGCATGTATCCCTGCAAGGGAATTAAAATGCAAAGTTAGTCGGAGTATAAAAGCATCACTGGACTCAGAGAACTGATGCATGCAAACCTCTTAGCCAAACCTGAAGCAGTTCAGTGGGCTTTAAAAAAAAATGAATCTGGCTGTCATAAGTATTAAAAGGTTTGTTTACAAAAATAAATCTTTGACGGTAACTGGAGAATACTGTGGGGGGTTTTAAACTTCCCGTGCAGACTCACATTAAAGTATTTTTGGTCCAAATTTGACACTGTAAAGCAGCGCTAAAAAAACACCCAATATGTTTTTATTTTTGTGTTTTGCATGTTGTTAGTTGCTTTGAGCAACCTCTTCAGGAGGGAAAAAGCAAGTTTGCATTTTTTGTACAAATAAAGAGAGCCCACTGCCTCTGTTTTCAGGCAAAACAATACTTGGAATACGTATTCCTATTTTTTAATGCTATGCTCTGTCCCCCCATTATATTCCTGATACTGCCCATCAAAAGAGCACAGCACGTGCCTGAGTTATTCATGCCAGCCCATTCACTATTGTTCACTGAATCACAGACATGCACACCAGGAATATGCTATGCATGAGCAGGACAATAGGAAGCAAGCAGGAGTTTCCCAGTTTGTCTGTTTTTCGTATTCATATGTCTTGGACAATATGGAAACAGACATCATGGGGATTGTGAATGGAGCCGAAGTCTTAAAGGCTCAGCATTCATTTTCAATTCAGAGCTGTCGCCTTGCGCTTCCTGTGAAAGGCTCGTCTGTTGGGAATAGGGCCACTTTGTTACCAGGTGAACAATAATCCAAATTCTCCTACAGGCGACAAGTTCATGTGTCAAGTTTCACATTACAATGCCCCCTTTTCACCCAGTGCCAAGCATTTCTCTAAAGAATATGTGAGAACACTCTTGAGTGGAACATGAGTGCCTCAATTGATTTCGGAACTTGACTTCCTGCCGTAACCTTTCTTTACAGGTGCAGCAGTCTCAGTGGCAGAACAATTTATTTATTTATTTATTATTACATTTTTTTTACGGAACGAACATCCAACTAAGTCATAAAGTAGACCTACTGAAATTAATAGATAGAAGCCCATTGACTTCAATAGATCTACTCTGAGTATGACCAACACTGGATTAGCAACCATGCTTTGCTGCAAGTTCAGTGTCGGGCATTGCCAGGAAAGGGTTTTCAGCCAGCGAGGCTGAAAGAGACCTTTCTAAATGAGACCCTCTAAAATCTGCATGACTTGGGCAGGTCTTTCATTGGCAGAAATACAAATGAGAACCTCTTGGGAAACACCCCCAAAACAATTTAGCAAGTACTGAGCATGCTCAGTAGCCACAAAACACTGAGTGTTTGTTTGGGGCAGGTAAGTGTGGAATGGAGTGCCCTGAAAGGGGTGGCTGGCTGGCTGACTGGAACACTGAACAGGAACAGTCACACGGAAACATTTTGTTACAGGTCCCAGTGCTTTTTTGGTAAATGTGAACTCTGAAAGTCATGACAGTTTGCATTTCTTAGTGCAGAAATTATTGATCTGATGTTTAGAGATCTTTCCTATTCTACTTAATTTAAAATGGTTCTGGAAGCTTCTCTGTGTGAAAGAAACAAGCAGAAGGTTCATGATGTTTGGGTTATTCCTTCAGAGAAGCTGAGTACAGCTGGTTTAAACTGGTTTTGTTATCTCTTTCCAGTGTTTTTTTGTCCAGGGGGGCGCAGGGGTACGCATACCCCTAAACATTTTGTGAATCTAAGTTTGGCCTCATCGAGGGGCAGTATTTCAATATGAGTAGGAAAATGAGAGTATCCCTAAACATTTTTTTAGGGGGGAAAAGCACTGTCTCAGTCAAGGTCATGCTGGCTATAATAGGTCAGAAGGCACCTGGGTTTCACTCTCTTTTTCTGTCTCTCTTTCCATCTGGTGTGGTGTTCTGTATTTAGTGTTAAGGTTTAGACTTATTATAAGTTATTTTAAGTCTAAGTTAAGTCTCCTCAACTGGATTTCTTATGGACAGTGCCAATCCTGAATGTATTGGATTTGTGACCATTATGCTCATTTGCCTATAGTAGCAGTAAAGCTCTGCTGGATGAAATATAATTGCCTCTGATCTATATTGTGGGAATCCTGCAACGTGTTTAAGTTTTTACTCTGCTAACTATACATCAGAGTTCTGCTTTGGATCAATATTGAGTAGTTTCTAGGTTAGCAAAAAACAAAAACAAATGTCAAGCTACCATTTGTTGCTAGCATGAAAATATCCTAGAGCAAAGTGGTATGAGACTTTGAAATAATCCATATCCTAATATACACATAAATAATCCCGGCTGCAGGAGATGACACCCATAAACAGGTGGTTCAGTGCGCTGATTACCTGTGAAGTCCTTGTCCATGGACACTTGGTGGTCTTTGACATCGATTATTTCACAATATCATACTGTTTAGGGCACTTACCGATGGCTGCTCTAAATCCATCATGGCTTTGGGGATCATACCAAATGTGATATCACAGAAATAACACCAATACCAGTGTTTATTGGTGCAAGTCAAAAGACATTACAATAAAAAATAAATAAAATAATTCAGTGCCAAAAACAGCAGATATTTCAACAAAGAGCCATCAATATTAATAGAATTCCCTTTGGGCTTCTTTTCTCTATTTAAAAAAAGATGGGAAAATAGAAGAAAAGAATATTGAAACTCCAGCAAGAAAACAATGAACATGTAGAGCAGGCATAGGCAAACTCTGCCCCTCCAGATGTTTGGGACTACAATTCCCATCATCCCTGACCACTGGTCCTGTTAGGTAGGGATGATGTGGGGGCCACCAGATGTGGGGCCCTATTTTTCTGGTTTTCTTTTCCAACTGACACTCATTATTCTGTGACTATTGAGCATGCTCAGTCCTCATTGACCTGAGGGTTTGTTTGTTTGTTTGTTTGCTTGCTTGCTTGCTTGCTTGCTTGTTTGCTTATTTGCCCCATTCAGGCCTTTTTAAAAAGTTTTTTTTTCTTTCTTCTGCTGCAGACTTTAGAGTTCCCTTGAGCATGCTGGTACTGCCGTCTTAAGTCTCAGGGTCTCCCGTCTCACTCCATACCTGTTGGCTCTCACTATCTGAGTTTGCTAATAGAAGGCACTACAACAGAACCCCTTTGGTCACATCCACACTATATATTTGAAGTGTGTTTATACCATGCCCCAAAGAATCCTGGGAACTCTAGTTTGCCCCTCAACAAAATGCAGTTCCCAGGACTTGGTGGGGTGGGGGTGTGAAGCCATCTGAATGTTCATCACTGCCAGTCTTAAATACCAGGATTTGGTTTCAGGAAAGACTTGGCAGAGATTAATTGATCTAGAAATCCCTCGGAAGAGGTTGGAATTAGAATATTGTCTGCAAATGTGAGACTGGGGTTCATGTAAGTCTCTAGATGGGTTTCTGTTCAGAGAAGGTGCCCTCCAGCAGTGGGGTTAGAATTAACGCACACAGAGTGACGCTCTTGAGGTGCGTGCTGTTACACAGATAAAAGCCAGATGACAACAAGCTCAAGCAACAAGGGATCATCTTGTTTAATAACTGATTGGCCTTCACAGCAGTCCTGAGCATTTGCTACAGAGAAAGAGGAAGCTGAGCGCTTTCAAAAACCCTTTACGCTCTGTGAATGTCCTGCATCCCTGGAGCCTGAGCACACCGTTTGCTGCTTTGCACCTTCCCTCCTTTCGGTTAGATACAGGAAAGACACCATGGTGTCAAGGACAGGGGTCCGCCAATTGAACCTTTTCCTTCCCCAGGACAATGAGGATATTATCTCTCCCCTCCTATACGAGAGTCCTTGGAATGTCAGGTGAGTTTCATGGAAGTTGCTTCTCTGTCATTACACACACCATTAACAGTGGCGGACGCAGAAGCAGCTGGGCCTTGCCCTGGAGAAAAGAGGCAGGTATTGTGCAAATGTACATGATTTTGGCAGGGTGTGCTGTAGCTGGTCCAGAAGCATGAAACAGTTCAAAGAGGCAGAACCACAGGCTTGAAATTAAATGGGATTTGTGGAGCTGTGCAACATCTCTAACTGAAGAAGCCAAGTAGTGTTGTTACATTTTTTTTTCATGTCGCCTTTCCTTTCCTCCAAGGGGATCGGGGCTGCTTAAGTGGTTTTCCTCGCCTCCCCATTTTATTCTCATCCCCACCCTGGGAGGCAGGTTAAGCTGAGAGACAGGAACTTGCCCAAAGTCACCCTGTGGTCTTCATGGCCGTGAAACTCAGTGGGTAACCTTGGGACAGTCACTTTCTCCCAGCCTAACTTACCTCACAGGGCTGTTATGAGAAGAAAAAGTTGAGGGGAGGTAGAGAAGAGAACCATTCACCTCATCGTCACCTGCTTGGAGGAAACATGGAAAAAATAAATGTAATAAATGCTAAGTTATGAGAAATTATACTCACGGTTCTGGAGTGTAGAGAGGATCAGAGCCATGGCGTATGTACTGAGTACAGTGGAAAACTCGATAGGCAAGGCCAGCTAAGAAATCACGAGGCGACAAATATCCAGCAACTGGTCTGACTGTGAATCCAGACCTTTCTGAAGTGGTAGAAAAACCAAAATTATCTGAGTATGTGTGTCCATCAACAGAAAACACAAACTATTCCATATTTTTCCTACAGAATCAAACGTTGTTTGCACCAGCTAGACATTCCTTAAGAAAATAAAATGGATGAATTGATGCAGATCATTTAGCTGAGGGGAAAACACCAAGGTTACAATGTGCCAATATCACTAATCATCTTCCTGTTTTATCTACAGCAGCAGATTAAAAGGGGGGGGATTCAGGGCCACATTATACAGGTTTGAACAAAGCATTTTATCTTTAGTATCCTCATAAAATTGTCAACATTAAGGGGGAGCAAATACATGCTGCCAGCTGTGTGTATCATGCAGGTAGTATATGCAAAAATTATCTGAATGGCAAGCAATTTCGTGCTGGGTGGATACTTGGTGCAAACACTGATTTACCTCTATGTGTAATAGCCTCAGATCTTTCAGGAAATCTGATGGCACATTATTCACTTGGAAATCATCGGCAAACATTTCTGTAACAGCAAAGAACCCTGTGGCATCTTAAAGGCTGACGATGTTATTATGGCATAAGCTTTTATGGACCAAAGGCACAAAGTGTTATCCTGAGTGATGATGTGGGGTTGATTGTAAACACTGAGGTCGAAAAGAAAGGAAATGCCGAAAAGGTCAGATGGGGGAAGTTACCTTGTTATCTGTCTATCATTTCATTCCATTTATGAAGTGCTTCCTATAAATTATCTCAAAACAATTTAACCATTAAAACAAATGTCATACAACTAACAACCCCAGATCCAATACAGGTTGGGATTAAAAAAATCTCCACTCAAAAGGCTTGCTGAAAAAAAGGAATGTCTTCAGCTGACAGCACTCCAAAACTTATCTTCACTTATGAACAGGACGGTTCTTTCTCAAGCTCTTTCTCATCTCATTAGTTACTGCTTAGAATTAAATAAGCTAAGCTTAGTCCTCTTCAGAAAAAGAAAAATTGTGACTGTTGTCTTTGGCTGAGAGCACACATTTGAACCTTGGAGTGCTTTTCTACCTTCAAGCAAAGAAAAAAAAAAGGAACTGTGTTTCAGCGTCCTTCTTCAGGGATCCAGAGAACAATGCAGGATTCACCTTTGAAAGATGCAACCCAGCTCAAAGAGCAGTCAGCCAATTAATGTTAAGTGCTAGTAGCCATAAAGTCAGAATAAAGGAAGGAATGGGAGCTGGGGCAGGTTAGCTTTTCAAGCCATACACAATATTTTATTTTTGATCGGAAAAATCTTTCTCAGGTTCTTAGGACTATATTTTGCTGTGACTTTTCTGCGGTCATAGTGGGAACTTGTTTGGGGGGGTCTTTCCCCTGCCCCCAATTTAAACATTTAATATTTGTAAGAAATATTGGCACTCCAAAACACTGGAAAAGGCAGCCCTAATAATAACTCCCTGAAACTCAAAAGAGATCTTCCAGGGCCTGGAACAATGAGTGGATGCAAGCGACCAGGTCAAATTGAACCCAGAGATAAGGGGCAAATAAGTCTGACATCTGCCTCATCTTCTTTGACAAAAACTGTGTCAGCATCAGAGACTTCCCACAGCAATTCCTGCAGACTGCAGCACATGCGACCTCAGTGATGTTTGCCCTGGCTAAAACTAACGTGCCCACATTGCATCTCCAGAAGGATAAGGAAAGATTATGGCCTTGGCGGGATCATTCAACATAGGCTGTGTCTACACACACACACACACACACACACACACACACACACACACACACACCATTTACTCTGCACCTGGTATGCACCCACCAGTGGTCTGGGAAGCAGTGTACATGTGATATTAGCCAAAAGCCGTGTCTATCCTTTGGTTTCCTATTAAATTCTGTGTGTGGTGAAGTGTGACTACCCAAGCCAGTTTCAATCCAAACGGAGAGAAAGAACAGCTGCAAATAAATCCCCCTTTGACTCGCTTTAAAATGGCTTTTTACGTAGGGTTCTGGGTGCAGTCTTCCTGAGGGGAAAAAATGGGTCTGTTTAATTAGTTCATCCTGCCACCTGTGTGCCTCATGCAGGATTGCATCAAGGTCACAATGGCTGTGCATAAATCCACCAAGAAATCCTGCATGTACACTGTCCTTGGGGTGAGGAAATATACCCCAAGGCCCTGATTGGATGAAGGAAAATCTACACTTCTGTATTTTAGTACAAAAACTGGTCTCTGACCTGCATCGAAGGCCTTCATTCAGATGAAGGATCATGCACTGCAATAACCTTGTGTCAGGATGAAGCTTGCTGATGGGTTCCAAGATTTAGGCAAGCTAGCTTTGTTGTTTTGTTCTGTACTCACATTCCCAAAGGTTTGCTTTACACTATTAGCCTTTCTTAACTGTCTTTTATTGGTCAAGGGTTCATATTCTGTGCTTGGCCATATGCTACTGAGTAAGGGCTCAGTCACACTTCCCTTTTTGCTTCATTTCTAAGCACAGGTCTGGGCTTTCCAGGTTGTGTCTGAGTGGTCATCGTTGGTGTGTTTTCCCCCCAGTACTTTCCCTGGGAAAACCCACATTTTACTGCTGAATCAGCACAAACAGCAATCCAGGTTTTCCAGGAAGAAAAGCACCAGAACAAAACAAAAAAAGACACACACCTGAAAAACCCACACCTGTGCCTAGAAGAGACCTAAGTTGTGTGCTTGGAGCTCAAAAGACAGTGAGTGGACTGTTTGGCTCCTGTCTTTGTGAATCCCAAGAACATCCAGAAACAACCTGAGCTTCCCTTAGTTCAGGATTGGGAGACTACAGAGATTTGGGCAGTGCTACAGGGCAGGTTGGTTTTCCCTGGGCTATCTTACATGGTTTGCAGTACGTAATGAGAAAAGCAGCCCAGCATGAGCAAAATGCTTTACAATGACCTAGCAGTGTTTCAAGCCAGATAATGTATACACAACCACAATCAATTTGTTATGCAGTGGGCTGGATGAGGGGGCAACCAAAACGGTGCTCTCCAGATGTTGTTGGACCACAACTCCCAACTACAACCAGAGGGCGCCATATTGGCTACCTCTTGCTGAGAGTGTCAGACTAGAACTGCAGAAACCTTGGTTCAAATTCCCACTTATCCATGAAGTTCAGCAGGTGACTTCGGATCAATTCTTCTCAGCCTAATTTTCCTCACAGGGTTGTGGTTTTTGTGTGTGGTTTTTTTGTAGAATACAAGGAAGCAAGAGACTAGTTTGTCACTCTGGGCAACTTGGAGAGAGAATAGGGTTAAAGTGAAGTAAATAAATAAATGAGACTCCAAAACAGAGGTCTCCAAAAGAGGGGGATGAGGAGGAGAGGAGAGGCCTTCTGTTATTACTCTGTAGTGCTACGGGACAAATGGCATCTCCATACTAGAGGAGTTGATGAGGATACACAGAATGCAGCTATAATTAGACTGTCTCTCAGCCTGCTCCAGTCTTGACCTGAACTGAAAGGAAGGGAAGTCTGGCAGAGTCAGTGCTTTTTCTTCTTCTCCTGGCAGTACTCATGGGTACGCAGTACCGGCACCTTCCCCCCCAAATGCTAAAAGTGTGGCACATACTGTAACAACTTCCTGGTGAGTACCAGCACCTCTTTTTCTTTTTTTAAAAAGCACTGCAAAGAAGCAATGCCTTTGGGAGGATTAGAAAGGGAGGATTACAGAAGATGAGTCATGAGTAACGCAACTGGCAGATGATCAACATTACCATCTGAGGAGGAGGCTTGGAGCAGACCAACTGGTGCACCTTCCAGCCAAGTTCAGTGTTGTCGCTGGAAGTGTGCAAACTTCCAGCTCAGTTATGACTTCAGGAAAGGCAGCTGGGAACATCTGGCGACAGGCCCATTTTGGAGGAGAAGCTTGACCCCACTACCTCCAACTGCTTTACAAACATTCAACCATACAAACCTTACTACCCAGGACATATGGAGTCCCCATCTTGAAAATGCAAAATGTAGTGAATAAGGAGGCATTGTTCATACTCCATATAAGATTGTCAGTGCACTGGTTTGTTCCAAACACAGAGCTGACTGCTTTGCTTTGTATTCAGATGGGTTTAGGCATGTATAGTCAAAAAGACACATGTCATAATAGAGACGTTCTCAGGGGATTGGGGGTCAGCCAGGACTTTCGTGCAAAACTCCCTCAACACAGTGAGAATTTTCTCAGCTGTAACAATTCCCCAAAGGAGAGATGGTAGAGATTCCTGATGGGTTTTTTTCCCCCTCTCTGCATACAGATTTGTTCCATAACTGCTTATTCAACATACAGAATTGTCGTGCGAAGAATAAAGGTATAAACAGCTCTCATTACTTGGCCAATTATGTAACACTTGAAATGCGACACAATTATTTTTACAGCACCCTTTTTCTGCTAGAAGTCAGATTTCACCCTTACCTTTAAGAAACATAGAAACATCCTCCAGCTGAGGGACATTATCCTCTCGGTAGCCACAATGCTTGGTCAACAAAGGGAAGTTCTTCAAATACTCTCGACAGGCGTGAGTAGGATACAGTTTGGTCAGCTCCCTGAACACCACTCCCCAAGTTTTTATTTCTTCAGGTGTATAGTCCACTCTAGGGATTGGCTGGCCACTAAGAAAAAAAAATACAAAAGACAAAGGTTTTGAAAACAATTACCTCTCAGTTATATGCTCCCATCAACCCTTCATAAGCCCCTTCCAAACTCCCCTAACATAGACAGACACTGGTACCTCAAAAGAAGGAATAACTATTTTTCAGATAGCCCATTCGCAAGTTGCAGCCAATGCCTGCTATCATCTCCAGCAAAAGTCTGATATGGCTGTTGTCTCATCCCCCAGGTGTGTCCTGGTGTTAGTCCCAAAACAGATCTTAAAGTCATGCTCTCTTCAGCTAGAGCAGTGGGTCAGATGCAGAACAAGAGTAAGGAACCAAAGGGGCAGAATGAAGCCCTCCAGATCTCTTTATCTTGCTCTCTCCACAGGCCACACAACTCACTGCCCTGTGTCACAGCCTTCCCAGATGCTTTTACCGGAGTGGAATGTGTCTTCCTTGAATTATGCTAATAATAAGTTTTGCTTTCTTGCTTGGATGGATGGAGGAATGCAGCCTCCTGTACGAAAGTCAAGTGTTATATCCATTGCGCCACCTACTTCTGCATCTTCCCTTACCTGCCCCTGGTATGTGGCCCCCATAACACTGTTCAGGAGGCAATGTGGCCCTTGTGCTGAAAAGGTTCCCCAGCCCTGTTTAAGAAGAATCTTTTCCCTTCCACTCCTCGTTCTTCACATAGTCTTCATGTAACAGGTTCACCCTTCAAACGCACTTCTTAGAAACAGCTGGGTTTTCTGTACAAGCCAGACATCACACGGAGAGAAGAGCCTGCCCATGACATTTTGCTGCTCGAATCATCTATGCCTTCAGGATCTGAGATCAACTGTGCACAATCCAAAGGGGTTTTAAAAAAGTTACAATATAGAACATTTTTCCCCAAGCTGGTCTCTCTAGTTAATTTGAACTGCCATCAGTCCTAGCTGGCATGGGCAATGGTCAAGGATGAAGGGGTTGAAGTCCAAAACATATAGAGGGCAAGAGGTTGGGGAAGGCTGATACAGTGGTTTTCCTACATATTTGGAGTATGCCATACACATTAATTTCAGTAATCTCAATGACATGTACAGTTTGTAAGGCAGATCAGTTTTATTACAGGGAGAGAAAGAGAAAGACCAAAATAGATGCAGTTTCAAAATAATATAATGCATCTGGAGCAATGCATTTTAATAGAATGTCTTCTTAGGGGGCAATAGATTAACATTCTTCTTTTGCTTGCTCTGAAAGGCTATTCTAATGATATCCTTGTGCCTGTAAATGGTTATTCTCTGTTTTAAACACAAGGGCAGGATCAGAGGAGAAAAAAGAAGAATTCTAAAACACCGACTTCTTGATACTTCCAGCTGGAGATGACCACGCTGTGGATGGATGCCATAGCTGTCAACGTTTCCCTTTTTTTAAGGGAAATTCCCTTATTCTGAATAGGATTCCTCACAAGAAAAGGGAAAAGATAGCTATGATGGATGCTTCCATACAACCCAGATGGAGTAATATAGGAGAACCCTGTAGAAAACTAAAAGGGCAATGAATATTACAAGGACATGAATACTACTAGGTAGCTGGCAAGATTCAGGGAGGGAGGGAGGGAGGGAGGGAGGGAGGGAGAAGTGTTATGATCATAGCTGTCAACTTTTCCCTTTTCTTGCCAGGAATCCTATTTGGAATGAGGGAATTTCCCTTAAAAAAAGGAAAACGTTGACAGCTATGGTTATGATTTGGTTTAGTTGGCTACCTATATTTTGCTATGCATCTAAACAAACCAATAAAAACTATATTGTTTCCTCAAAGAATCCTGGGAGCTGTTCTGGGTGCTGGGAACTGTAGCTCTGGGGGGGGGGTACACTATACAGTTCTCCAGATTCTTTGGGGAAGCCAAAACAAAGAAAATTCCTTCCAGTAGCACCTTAAAGACCAACTAAGTTAGTTCTTGGTATGAGCTTTCGTGTGCATGCACACTTTAAGCCGTAACTTAAAGTGGTATAAGCATGGTTTTAGATGCATCGTGTGGTTGTGACCTTAGTCTCCTACCTAGAAAATGACATTTCTCAGAAGGCTATTGTGAATGTGATAACAATCATAAAGCACTTTGAATACTGAAAGGCCCGTTGCTGCCTAGACGAACCCTCTACTCTCCCCTCCTTTCAAGACCTTCTCTCAACTCCAGTAAAGCAGGATTTATTCAGTATGTTTCTTAGATGCAGGAACTGATACCAATCCTCACTATAGAAGCTGCTCCAATAATAAGTATCCTCTGTGGAGAAAGAATCATCTGGAATTAATGTGCTTTGAGGCTGCCTATTCAGCCTGGAAATTCTCATTAAGCACAATCGTCTTCCTTTCTTTTCTTCCCACCTTCACTTCTTTCTTTCACTAACAAACAATTACAACAAGGGTTTTGCTTAGCTGGGTGGGGGGCGGATGTTGTTAGCAAGCCGTGGTGGAACTGAATGGATAGTAAACAGAAGGCTGAAATGAATCATAGAGTTGGGGGTCACAGAGCCTAACTGCTACCTTGGGTCTCATGTTGAAAGAAAGATGGGGTACAAATCAAAGATTCAACGCACAGGTTCTTACTATCAGTATAAATTCATCCAAGAAACCATTAAGGACAGTCAAAGAAGACATACTGTACTCTAGAAATGACCAGTCACTGATGCTGATTGCATCTTATGGAGCAAGCACAATTTCACGGCCAAAGCAACCTCAGAAATACAGTCTGGGTAAATAACAATGGCTGCCAACGATAGGCGTCCCCTACTCAGAAGCTGGGGGAGCCATGGCTCATTTGCATGCATTAATTAAGCTGAATTGCGTACACATTTAAACATTTCCCCGTTTTCTTACACCAGCACAGCAGGGTAGAAGTGGGGGGGGGAGGGAATGGTTCGGGCTGGTTTGAAACTAGTCAAGTACAGCTGAAGCTGAGCAGAGATATGCAAAAGGTACTTGCAAAAAGGAACATTTAGGAGATCCATATCCATATAAAATGCTAATAGAACAGCAGTGATCTATCCAGAGAGAAAAACTGCTGCCTCTGCTCACAAGACACAAATGCCCTCCCTCTCCTTACTCTGAAGTGTGTGTGTGTTTGTGTGTGTCTTTTTATGGGCTTTTAAGCATGCTCTTTTCCTGCCAAGTTTTACTGTTTGCTGAGGGGGAAATAAATGTTTTCATCTCTCTCCCCCCCCCTCCTTGTGCGCTTAGAGAACTCAAATAAGTAGGCAGAAACCACAAACGGGAGGGAGGGGGAAATGAGAACTTTAAAAAAAAGAAAGCATGAAACAGAAAAGTACATCAAATTAGCATGTGCCTTCTTGGGAATGTGAAGAGTTTGGCCCATTATGAGTAAAATGAGAATGTGATTGGAATTAGCTTGACTTGGAAGCTCGCGTGACAAGAAAATTGCAAAAAGCAGCAGGTATTTGTAGGTAGCGCTGAAAATTTACTAACTCCTGGGGATCGTAATGAATTCAAAATGTAGGCTTGATCTGCAAAGACTTTTAAAAAAAAAAAAAGCAAGTGTAGCATTTGGAGGTGGTATTATTCGTTACAGGGTAAGTCACTCGTGTAAAAGTGCAATCCTGTAGTAAATTTGCTCTCGCTCAAGCTCTTTAGGATTTTGGTTAGGTTCTAGAGCAGATAGGAGCTTAAATGGAAGCCAAGATATAATCCAAAATGTGAAACCAATGCTCTTTTTCTAGAACAAGAAATGCTGGAACTCACCATGAACACCTCCCTTGTTCTTTTATAATGGCAATGGCACCCACCTGAGAGGTGCTGGAACTCAGTTCTGGTGAGTTCTGGCTGGAAAAAATCCTTGTGTGGACCCCAAACACACAATTCTGTGAACTGAGTTAGCCTGACTCAAAGAGAAAGTGGGGAGGGGGGAGAAGAAGAGAGGATCAGGCTTGCTCTTGGTAAGAGAAGCACACGACTTTTCATGTGGTGGTGGAAGCCATAAACCAGGGGTCAGCAAACTTTTTCAGCAGGGGGCCGGTCCACTGTCCCTCGCACCTTGTGGGGGGCCAGACTGTATTTTGAAGGGGGGGAATGAATGAATTCCTATGCCCCACAAATAACCCAGAGATGCATTTTAAATAAAAGGACACATTCTACTCATGTAAAAACATGCTGATTCACGGACCGTCTGTGGGCCAGATTTGGAAGGCGATTGGGCCGGATCCGGCCCCCGGGCCTTAGTTTGCCTACCCAGACCATAAACCATTTACAGTGGTGCCTCGCAAGACGAAATTAATCCGTTCCACGAGTCTCTTCGTCTTGCGGTTTTTTCGTCTTGCGAAGCATGGCTATTAGCGGCTTAGCGGCTATTAGCGGCTTAGCGGCTATTAATGGCTTAGCGGCTTAGTGGCTTAGCGGCTATTAACGGCTTAGCGGCTTTAAGAAAAAGGAAACAAACTCGCAAGAACTCTCAAGACATTTCGTCTTGCGAAGCAAGCCCATAGGGAAATTCGTCTTGCGGAACAACTCAAAAAACGGAAAACCCTTTCGTCTAGCGAGTTTTTCGTCTTGCGAGGCATTCGTCTTGCGGGGCACCACTGTAATGTGATTGGTGTGCTGAGATAGCAGCTGAGGTGACAAGGCATGATAGCAGCTCTTCTGAGAGCCCCACAGTGAGGGTGGGGCAAATGGTGCCCTCCCAGCTGTGTTTTGCCCTCCTAGCCCTCTGAATTTATTTCTTTTGATTGTCCTTTTAATTTGTGACATGGCTGACAATGAGAGTGACCATTTAAAGAATGACATCTTGTTTGAGAACAGGAGCAATTTAGGAATAGAAGCCTCTGAAAAATTCAGCGAATAAGGCCTGCTCACTCAGTACTTTCCCACATTCAGGGTGGGTTTTTCATGACAGCTACCCTTATGTTTGATGCATTTTTTTACATTAGTTTAATCCTGGGGGGCGGGGGGAGGCTGTCCTGTTCTGAAGTATGCTTTCCAGGTGCTGTACATTTGCTCTCTCTCTCTGAAAAGTTGCCCTGCGAACCCACCGTTCAGAAAGCTTTCTTGTGTATTTATCAAGCAATTTCGTACATTTGCAAAAGAAAGTCAACTATGCAGTAAATATTTTATCCACTTAAGGACTTAATCTCATTGGCTCCAACAAGAAGCTTATGCATATTGTTCTCAGCATCGCTCTCTCCAAATCACTCTCTCCAAATGCTTGTCTACAGTTGCATTGCAAGGTGCTCTTGCACTGTTTCTAAACCTGCATTTTTGAATTGGTGCTGTCAGGTTACAAGATTTAAATTGATTTTTTGAGAAAGCAAGCTGCATACTAGTTTCTAACTTCTTAGTCATACCATAAAGTATTTTGCTTGTTTTACAACTTTTGGTATCCCCTTGTTCACACTAGGATCCGTAACATCTTTTTTTCTTATGAAACAAAGAAACAAAAATGCCAGTCATTTAATTCCTGGTGTTAACTTTCTGTTAATTTGACCTTTACGTAGCCCATTATGTGAGTTGACACACACGCTGCATGAAGGGGGGTGAGCAGGAAGGTCACTGTTCTTCCCCTTCCCCTGGCCCTCACACACCTCTCTCAACCAGGTAAGCAAGAAGCATTATGAGAGTTCAAGGACACATGCCAGCTAGGCGAAAATTCTCAAGGAAGGTTCAAAGCAGGAGTGTGTGGCTTAGGAGGAGTATAGCTAGTAGAGAGAGCCAGACAGAGAGGTTCTCCATTTCTGATATGAACAAATCAATAAATAAAGTGATGACCAGAAGTGTCAAGGAGAAGGCTGTAGTTCAGTGATAGAGCTCAGCCTTTGCATTCAAGTGACCATGGCTTGATTTGGTAAGTCAACTTCCTACGTTCCACAGCTCAACTCCAAATAAGCCCAGTTTAGATGCTCACCCTACCAATTCAGTTGTGTAAATGGGCCGCTCCTCATGGCTGCTGCTTGTTTATCACCCAAGCAGATGGTGTCCTTTTTTTTCTGAATCAGTAGCAATTCCACAACAACAAAGTTCTGTACTCACTATTTATAATTCATGGCAACGTCGACAAAATATTTCCTTCTCTGCCGATACACATTGTCCTTAAATCCCTAAAGCAGATAAAAGAAAATGAATGCGTACCAAAGAGAATTAACAACAGAAGAAGAAAAAAACCAATAATCAAAGTGGTTTCTAAAATAACGCTTATTAATATTGTAATTCATGCCATCCGTGGAACAGTCAGCAAATGTAATGATATTGTTACATGCCACTCCAATCTCTAAGTGGCAAGAGATTCCAGGGGTTCACGTTTCCTTTGGAAATGAGGCACAACAGAGACTGTGGTGTCTTTATGATATATGGTTTATGTACACATATATAAAACTTGATTTGTTAATCACCTTTCTTTTGCTGTCCATGATGGCTCTTCATCCAGGTGATTTCCTGAGCATGGGAAAAACTGGTTTGGCCTATATTTTGACACTACTAAATTCAGTGTCTGGCAGCCCATCTTGATACTCCAAGCACTGATTAACTTCTAACACTTAGTAAATGCAGGAATTATTGGTGTCTTGCATTCCACAAACTCATGACAAGATGTACAAGAACAGCCCTTTACTACAACAAAACTTGACTAAGACTATGCACACATCACCAGCTTAAAATGCAGTTATATTGTTCTTTTTCTTATTTCAGATCAAAGCTGGTTTGGAGCATGGAACACATCAAAATGCAGCACTATACTGTATTTCCTAGTCAACAGCAGGATAGGTATGGATTATGTGTCTGCCTTTATTAGTACTTTGCCTGTGTGTGTGTGTGTGTGTGTGTGTGTGAGAGAGAGAGAGAGAGAGAGAGAGAGAGAGAGAGAGTGTAAGTGCAAGACAGAGAGCCTTATGAGTGTATTGTTCATGGTCAGTGCACAAGCAGCACACATACAATGTAACATTTCATATACCCATGTAGTACAGTATTTAACTGCTTTTTTAAAAAGCAAGTTTTAGAGGTGGCTACCATGAAAACCTGTGGCTCTTTGGTAATCCCCTCGTAAGGGGCTAACATGTGTCCAAATTTCATGCACCTGTGTAAAAAAACAGAAGGAGAAGGAGAAGCTATAGCTTCCCAACGCAAGTCAGTGGGATTTCTGCAGATTTGCTTTTACCGGATCACAATCCAGATCCAGGGCTTGGGGCAGTTCAAGATTGTCTCGGATCTAAATTGGTGTATCAGGGCACAAACTGGCTTGGTGGAACAGCAGGGATTTCCTGCTTAGGGCCAGCCCAAGGCAAGTTGAAGCTTGAGGTGAAGGACAATGTAGTCCCACCCTCCACATACAAAATAGGATGGTCACATGCAAAAGGTGAAAGGGGGTCCTTAGCTATAATCTTTTGCACCAAAGGTGCAGGATCCCATTTCCAGGCCCGTGCAGAGCTTGTCTGAGGTGGGGAGTCTTGTTAGAATAAAGTTATAAAGTAGAAGACAATGAAGAAGAAGAAGAAGAAGAAGAAGAAGAAGAAGAAGAAGAAGAAGAAGAAGAAGAAGAAAGCGGTCAGTACATGGGGGGGCTCTGGCTGGCTTAGCCCTCCAAGGCCCGAGCCCTCCCTCTCTGCACGGGCCTTCCCAATCCTCATTTACACCTGAGCACTCTAGGACAGAATCTGACTGTACAGTTGTACCTTGGTTCTCGAACAGAATGCATTTCGGGAGGCTGTTCGACTCCCGGAACCATTTGAAAACCAAAGTGTGGCTTCCAATAGGCTGCAGGAAGCTGCAGTCGGAAGCTGTGCCGGACGCTGGGCTTCCAAAAATTGTTTGAAAACCAGAACACTCACTTCCGGGTTCCGATCGTTTGGGAGCCAAGGCGTTCGGCTTCCAAGGTATGACTTAACAAGTAGTTAAATATTACTTCAACATTATTATCATCAGCACAGTACCCCACTGTACTTGAAGGCAGAAAGCTAGCTTCAAAGGGCAGGGCAGGCCATACGGCCCACCTAACTCCAACCTTCCAGCACCTCACCACCACACAGGAGTAACTGATCTGCTAGTGCAGGGATGGAGAGCCCCCCAGATGTTGTTGGACTCTAACTCCCGCCATCCCTAACTATTGGCAGTGCTGGCTGTGGCTGATGGGAGTCATAGTGCAACAGCATCTGGAGGGCTACAAAAAATCAAAGTGGAAGGAGTTTACACTAGGCTTATAAAAAGCAAGTCAACTTCTGAGTACCCCAAGCTTCCATTAGGCCTGGTGCTGATTTTGGTAATGATGCTCTAAGTCATGAAGAGTTGGGATACCTTTGCCAGTCACAGAACAAAATCCATGGCATTTTCTTTCTTTCTTTTAATTCAATAGCCATTGAATTGCCAGAATGGCTTCAGTTTTCCCAGGTTGCGTGTCGAGACCCCGTAACCACCCCCTCGAAGATGAATAAAACACCAGGACACAGAATATTTGGTTAGTGTTATTGGGCAAATATTGGCCACAACTTTATTTGGTTACAGAATGTGAGCGGTATTGGCTTAGGCATTGAATAGACCTAACTATATCTGACTCCTGCCCATTGCGCAGGGATTCCAGTAAGGGTAAACCACCGGAAGGGGGAGCCCCATCGATGCAAACCAACTCGAGCTCCCCCAGGATTCCCGCAGGGGTCGTGGCGTGGCCCTAGCCCACCCCTGGCTTCGGACAAGATCCACACCGGCTTCAGACAAGATTCCTTTAACAGAATACCCTTAAGCTTGGGGGGACAGGTGATGGCCACACCTCCCCTCCCCATCATAAGGTCACCCAATGCCTAACCGCCACAAGAGCCCAAAGGCTCACCGCCAAATACCCTCAAACCTGCAACCAATCCTTCACGTGGGGAAATGATATCTCAGCCAACCAGATATCATTTCCCCAATCGGAAAGGTGTACGCCACCATCTCAAAATAGGGCCATCTTGCTGTAAACAATGGTGGGGTGCGCAATCACCCGGCCACCCAGCATGTGCACCTTCTGTGCCACTTCTGTGCACCCTATGATGTGATGATTGAAGTCCGGCAGATAGCCTTGCCAGCTGAGAGCAGAAAGGGCGCCCCGGCTCACACCTCCGCTTAAATGGGTCTCGGCCACACATCCCCAGCCAGCGGATTGGCTGGCTGGTTGATGACAAAACCAGGATCCTCTGAGCAAAGTGGGACTTTGTCCCCCGCCCCCAGAGGAGAATGGGTGGCCACGTGGCCCACCGCAACTCCTCCCCACAGTTAAGTGGAGGAGACTTCCCTTCCTGAAGAGAGAGTGAAAAAAGGCAAGGCAAGAGGTTAATTTCCCCCAGCTTTGGAGTCGTGGCTTTTGGCAGTACGTGGGCCTTGCAGTGTGTGTGAAATATGAGCTGAAACAGTGCTACCGTATTAAAAACAGGGATGAAACACAAGGAACCTGCATGGAGGCTGCATTCCTGCTGAGCCTAAAGGATGCTATGATTTCTACCTCATAATTATCTCCCAGAGTGTGAGCAGGTTTTCAATTGCCTTCTTCTTTCCCCTCCCACACCGCTAGGAATGCTCATTTAATATCTATATTCTTTTAAGTGAAATAGCAGTGGGCATGACTTTAAGTACCCGGGTGATTTTGGAGAGCAACACTTATATGCACCATTTAAAAAGGGGGAAAAGTAATCTAAAAGGTAAAAGGGGGGGAGAAAGCAATGGGATAGTTTGTCATTTTTATTTATTTATTTTGTGATACCTTGTGTAGCTCTGTCATACTGAAAATATAGCATAATAGCTGGCAGGGGTGGGGAGCAGGCAGAAGAAATCTATCCCAAGTCTTCTAAAGCATCTTTTTTAAGCAGAAGTTTTAGACCATGAAAACGGCCTGAGTGGATTTGCACCTTAATCTGAAATGCATTAGCTGAATATTTTTGGGATCAGTCTGTCATTATTGAAGTGCGTCAGGTGGCAGGACAAATCAGAGTGGTGAATCAGTCCTCAAAAAGCAGAAAGGGGCAATGGCATGTTTCCAGCTAGATCTAAGGAACTTGAGGTAGAAGATGGTAGATTTCAGCTGAACATTAGAAGCAACTTTGTAAGAATTTGAACAGGGAAAGAATGGCAGAGCAAATGCCCAGGGTCAATTTCTGGCATCTCCAGGTAGGTTTGGGAATGACTCCGGTCTAAATCCCTCTCTAGAGAGCCACTGTCAGTTTGCATAGACCATAGATGAGGAACATGTAGTTCTCCAGATGTTGCTGGAATGCAGCTCCCATTATCCCTGGCTATTGGCCATGCTGATGGGAGGCTGATTGGAGTTTCAGTCCAACAGCATCTGGAAGGTGATAGATTCTCCATCCCTGCAGTAAAAGATCATTCCCTGTGTTCCTTCTAAAAGCAGTTCAACAACAGTACCATTTTTCTAGGATGTTGGTGGACTTCTTATTGCTGGAGAACTCCAAGCAGAAGCTTGACAGCGCTGGATTTCCAGTATCAAGCAGGGAATTGAATTAGATAGCCTACAACAAATTCTACGACATTGGCCCATGCAACAAACTGTCATTGCAAAGGGGCAGGTTCAAGGAAACTCCTGAAATATCTTCCGTATCATATGTTGTCACAAAAGATCCCTGGATTTCTAAAGAAACCCACCTCCCTCTTGCATTCAGTGAAGGTTATTGCAATTAGCATCATGGTTATGAAATGAGCTGAAGGGATCAAGCATACTTAATAAAAAAAATGCATCCAGTTCTAGGAAAATACCGCTGCCTATTATATTGTACATCTCATGGCTTGGCTTTGCCAACAAGACATTGTATCTCATCCTAAGCAATTTATCATTTCTACAACAGGAGTAAGTAAAAAACAACATGGGCTGCATAATGCACTGTATAACAACTCTGTAATGTTTTGTTTCCATTGTTATTTTGCATTTTCTTCCAATTATAGTTATGGAACAGCCTTGGGTGCCATTTGGTGGAAAGAAAGGATATAAATTAAGCTACTTAAGTTCTTTTGAATAATAATATTTAATAATAATTTGTTAATTATAGCTATAGTTCTAATTACTTGAAGAAGAAGAAAGTTCAGTTCTTTATCATCAAATTGTCACAAATGTTTACTTGACCAACCTTGGCTGCATTTACTGAACACTTACAGGGTGATCTGCATCCAGTTCAGAGCCGTACATTAGAACTCTTTGGGAACATTTGTCTAATTCAGCAATCTTCCTGGGGAACCAAGGAACACAGTCAAGCTCTGGAGGAAATACAGAGTGATTGGAGGCATCAGATTCTCACTGCTTCTTCACAAAGCTTTGCTAATTTCAAGACAAATTTTGAAAGAGAAAACAATAGCCTTGCCTTCCTCATCGGTCCAGATGTTTTCCGGTGGATTCAGAGTTACAATGTTCGTTTCATACTTTAACAACTGAATGAGCTCATTGAATTCTTTCTTGCTACAGTCACAGTCCACAAAAATTTCTACCTCTGAACTCCTTCTCTTGGATTTTCTTGATTCAATATGAACCATACTCACATGCTTCTCCTGTAGACAGAACGAAAGATTGGTTCATTGACTCACTGAATTCATTTAGAAGAGAAGTGGTTTAATGGGTGTTCTGAACAGGATGTAGTTTAATGTGCATATAAAGGCATTTGAGTTAAGAAAATCCTTCATCTGTATTAAATTACTTATTTGTTATTTTTAGTTCAATGAGTGTGCTGTAAAATTATGCCTGTATTAATTGCTCCATTTTATTAGATATCTGAAAACTGTAACTATTGTAGGATGATTAAAGGTGATTTACCATGGCCATTTCTTATAAAACAGGTGTTCACTGTAAAAAAAATATTATACTATTCAATGCCCAATTTATAGACAAGTTAAATTAATGGGCAAGAAATGAAATAGTGTGAAGATACAAGAAAAGTATTTATTGCAATCTACTTTAGTCTAACTGAACAATGTTACCCCACTTTGCTATCAGCAATAATCAAGATAACATGCCAAATAGCATTCATAAACATATTACAAAGAAAGAGCCACATCAAGAGCATGGAAACAATATTCTGTTCTGCAACAAAGTAGTTGCTTTTTCACATATTCACTTCAAGTGCCATGTGAAAAAGTAACTAATGATTGTCATGAACTGGCAGGGCAACGGGGAGGAGGAAGAGGATCCTGGCATGGGGTGTAGCCAGGACTGGGACACACCATGGCAAGCAGGGGATGGCGAAGGAAGTACTCACAGGCCAATGGAGGATGGCAAAGGAATGCAGTTCAATGCACAGGAACCAGAGCAGCAGGACCCATCACCAGAGGCAGAGGACTCCCTACCCCACAAACAAGGTGGGTTCTGAGGCATAGGAAGTAGCAAGAGGGGTGCTATTGAAAGCTGAGCTAGGCAAGAGCCCACAGCCCAGCTCCCTAGCTGGCCAGGTGGAGCTTGCTAGCTCTGGGAGTAGGTGCCTGGTTCCTCAGCTGGAGTAGGCTTGGAACAGGTGAGGGTCACATGTTTCATCAAGCACAGGTGCTGCAATCAGCATGCAAAGTATGAAAGGGCAGCAGAGCTAAGGTGCTGTGTCTGCTCTACTGCCCATCTTGATGGACTTTGGCTTGGGACTGTGTCTGGGTCATAGCTGTCAACTTTTCCCTTTTCTTGCAAGGAATCCTATTTGGAATAAGGGAATTTCCCTTTAAAAAAGGGAAACGTTGACAGCTATGGTCTTTGACTCTGGACTGTATCCTGACTGCTGGACTTCAGACTTGGCTACTTGGATTGACCCTGGACTGTGTATCCTGACCTTTGGACTTTGCTTCTGTGGATTGACCCCCAGACTTTGGACTTGACATACTGACCTGCTGCCAGATAGGCTGGGGGTTCAGGGCAATGATGGAGCTAGGTGTATTGACACCAGAAGGATATTGACACCTGAGATAATCTACAGAGTCCGCTCACCCTTGTACCTGCTGACCAAATTCACCAATAGGTGAATAGAGGTGGCATGAGGGGGCTTGCCATGGAGGCAGCACACTCGGCCTCCAAGGAGTGTGCCACAGCCATCGATGCCACCACAGCGGCAGCACCAACAATGCATTTCTTGGAGGCTGGGTCTGCTACCACTGTGGATCCTGCCACCCAAGGCGGTGGCTCACCTTGCCTCATGGGAAGGCCGGGCCTGAAGTAAACACATAATAGATCCACACAATAGATTTTTCCAATCACCTGTTTTAAAAAGATGGGTTTGTTTTTTTACCTGGAAAAGTCTGAGAGCTTTCACCAAGCCACCAACTTCATTTTTCAAAGAAAACACCACAGCGGTCTTTCCTCCTTCTGATGTTGATTCATTCTTGCTTGCACCTTTATTGTCCTTTTTATCATCGTTTTTACCAGAACTGGTTCTGTTTAGCTGAAAGAAAATACATTGCAAAACGGAAGGGTTTCTGTGCACTCCTCAGAAAACATTAAGCTTTCCTTTCAAGCAGACTATTCTTGCTTGATTTTAGTATTAAGATATCTTGATACTTGATTTTAGTATTAAGATATCTCCTACAAGAGAGGTTCTTTTCCCTTTTGAAAGGTGTGCTCAGGAGAAGAATTGCAGACATGAATGATTACTCTTTCAGATCAATGAAATAGCATCATGGAGCATGTTATCCTACTGCTACAACTTTGGTTATTATAATTCTTTAATAAAACTCCGGCTTGGATCTTCTGCCAATGAGAAATCAAACTTCACAAGCTTTGCAGAACAACTATGGTTCTTGAGCTCCGCATTATAAACTCAAATGTGAGTCACACATAGAACATCACAAAATTTCATGATTGCACCTTTGCTTGATACCTATTATTGGATGGAAATGAAAATTGCACTTTTATATCTTGTTCTCCCATTGAAGCATTTCCACATCTGTGGGGGGGTTTTGGGGGGTGGGGGCTTTGGGTGAAGGTTAGAGGTTACTTTACAGCACTTTTTGTCAAAAAGGAAAGTGGCACCATTTTGGATATGCCAAATGAAAGACTAGCTATGATTTTTTTAATATAAAAAATAGTTGTGCTTTAGTAATGGCTTTGGAGTTTGGAAAGATCTTCCTCTTTAGAGCATGGAAAATCAGGAAATGGTCTAACGAGATTTGTGAGGCAAGGTGGCCTTTTGCAGTGGATGGTGAACCCTGAGAGACGCCTGCTATCTGCATTTTGCCTTCATCTCAGAAGTCTCCCTCTGGAACAATCCTGCCTTTGTTTTTATTTAAATACTAATGATCCTAAGTGAAGAGGAGATGGCAGGTGAAAAGGGTTAAACAATACCAAATTATTCCATAGATACTCAATATATCTTTTGCCGTCCTTGCAGAGATTCAATAGAAATGTAGCCTTATGGAGACTAAGGCTATAAATGCTAGTACCCACAATGTCCTACCTCCACTGTGTGTCTCTGAATACAAGTTGCTGGAATCAAGTACAAACATAAGAAGAGCTTGCTGGATCAGACCAGTGGCCCATTTAGTCCAGCATTCTGTTTTCATGATGGCCAACCAGAAGCCTTTGGGAAGCCCCGCAAGCAGGACTGGACCTGAGCTGAACAACATTCTCCCCTCCCAGCAACCAGCATTCAGCATTCACCAGCATGCCTTGGTGTCAGGAGTCCAGGTTCCCAGCTTGATAACATAGTTACCGCAGATAATTAAAGAGGAGGATTTATTGCAAAAACAAACAGATAGCTCCGGACGGCTCTAACAAAGTCTCCAGCACCATTACTCAAGATGACCCTTCTGAAGATTCCTTCCTGTGTCTATAGAATATATTGAACCAACGCCCCTTGTGTCTTTTGCTTTGCTTTCTGTCTAGAAGCCCTCCTATTCGCCAACTCCTCGGAGAGATTGGATTAGTGCCAACCTCTTCCTTTTCCGACGAACTGTCTCCTTGGGTATTCGCGCCCATTTGAGCTTTGGCTGTGTTCTAGCCTGCTCTCAGCTACTGTCTTATCAGCTCGCCCGTCAAGGTCAGGAAGAGCCAAATTATGCAGCTGCCGGCTCTCCCTTGTCTGGCTAACATCAAATCCTCCCTGTTCCTGGCTGCTTTCTGCATTGGCTGAAAACCTTTGCTTGGAGCTGGCTCATTCCTGACACCCAGATAGTGGAGACAGAACATAATCATCAGAGTTAGTAGCCATTGACAACCTTATCCTCACAAGTGGGGAGAGTGCTATTGTGCTCAGGTCCTGTTTTCGGGTTTCTCAGACATTTGGTTGGCCACTGCGAGGACAAGATACTGGACTAGGTGGGCCATTTGCCTAATCTTGCAGACTCTTTCTTAATGTTCTGGTGCTTGCTTCTCTTTGCCAACCATTTAGTAATCTTTGTGTGGATTTTGAACCTATTCACAGATTTCCCTTCTTTGATTGGGACATGTTTCCATAAAAGTAACACTTGGAAGATATATGGAGAACAGTTTTGCTTGAAAATGAGATTCCACATAGAAACATATAGCTGTTTTGGGGGGGGGGGATCATTTCCTCACTGATGTCAAAATAATGCAGAATTGTTGACAGTCAAGTCCTCAGCACTGAGTACGCTTCCTGAGGGACCTGCTTTGATTAAAACACAATTAACGTTAAACATTTAATGAAGTGATTGTTTAATCATATGGATGACTTGCTAAATGTGTTTTCAGAGTTAGCAGCCTATAGCTGGAAGCTAGAAGGCACTCTTCAGGTTAAATATGGAAGCAATGGCGGGGCAGCTCAGGGCCTTGCTTAATTAGTCGGAGAGACACAATAAAGACTGAAATGGTGAAATTCGTGGTGATACAATTATTCAAAGCCTGCCTAACAGAGCTTCATGGACTCGGCGCAGCTCCGCACAACCCTCCGGAGCCCGGCGCGGCTCCGGCACCACTCTGGGACCCGTTCTGGGGGCTGGGGGTGGGGGAAGCCCCGTGCCTGTGGGGGGGATATTATTTATTTATATAATATTTATTTCCCCCCCCCTCCAAATCTAGGTGCGTCCTATGGGCCGGAGCATCCAATAGGGCGAAAAATACGGTATTTGTCTATCTCAGCAGGCTTTAGTCCCTCTGAAAGGGCCTGCAGATTTCAGCTAATTCTGCCAAAATGGAAAAAGTTACAACTTTTAAAATATCTTTTCCCATAATAATAAGGGGCCGGGAATAAAGCTTCATTTTCCTGAAACAGATACAGCTTTTGACCCTGAGACAAATCAGGTAGTCTCCAAAGTGCTTTGGACAGGGGCATTTTCCTAAGCACCAAATCTGTGTTCCAGCTGAATATTGTGCTTAGTACACACCCCTACTTTGAGCCTATTTATTTTCCACTGTGTATTTATTCTCACATTGTGAAGAGAGGATATGTTGAATTAGCACTCTTTAGTGCAAGATGATAGGGATACTCAGCATCATTTAACTTGAGGGCACTCAGTAGGTTGTTTCTATTAAAGTCAATGAATGCACATTAATGTATGAGACAACTAATATGTGAAGTAGATAAAAAGCCTTAATACACTGAAAGCCACTCTTTACAATTGCTAATTGTTAGAAAATTGCAAGTATAATCAAAGAACGAAAGCAAACAAGATAAAACACTTAATCAAAGGGTTCTCAGGGCCACATCAACCATGACAAATTTCCTAAACAGGTTGAGATTTATTGTAAGATACTGTGTGGGGAAATGCTTTTACATATGACAGTGTAACAATGCTAGAGTTCCCAAACCCTCAGACTGAAACAAGTCCCTAGAATCTGAGAACATGGATCTAAGCAGAAACGGCCATATCAGAGGGACTCTGGGGGTGGAAATTTTCTGTCTATATATAGTTAAATATTCTACATGCTGTGAAGTTGGTCAATGCCCACTCTCTTGGAACCCACCACAGGAAACACCTTGGGAATTAGGGAACCTGCCGCAACTTAGATGATTTAGCTACTACACAAACAATGACTATGTGTGGTGTGACATATAGAAAATGCAAGAGGTGTGATGAAGGTCATGTCTGGGGCAACCAGGATGCCTAAACCTACCAGGACACCTTGCTCAAAGCCACATGTGAAAGCTGCTGCTAGGAGAAATTGCTGTTGACATTTGTATATATTGGACTGTAAATGATGTTTAGCCTATAAGAACCAGCCAGGACTGAAATCAGGTGAGAGAATCAGGGAGGCATAAAAGCAGAGAGAGGAACTCTCATTAAAAGGGGGGGGGAGCATGAGCACCGGGCACTTATTTCCCTGCTCTCCATCATTGCAAAACCAAACAGCAGAAAAAATGTTGGGTGTCCAGCTTCATTTTCTGGTGCTGTGGTAAAAAGACTTGTCCCCTGTCTAACCCAGAGGGATGACACATGATCTACATAAAATATAGATCATTTTATTATCTCTTTTCTACTCCATGTGTTATGGTAATCTGCTAAAATAGAACAATCCGTTCATAAACTCTTGACCGGGCATTGCGTAATTTCATCTCCATTCAAGTGGAATCTGAAAGAACCTGTGGCTACTGTAATTGGCTTAAGGAGGACAATACAGTTTCACTAGTAAGAGATTTTTCTCTTTTGCTACATGTGCACATAAGGTAGGCATGTTGAGATGCTGTGTCAAATGGTGGCTCCTCAGGGGGACCAGCAGCATATGCAGCTAAACCAGAATGATTTTCATTATTTCATGCACACAAGTGTTCTGTGTGGGAGATAGAAATTCATCACATTTGAAGAATCCCTGACAGAATGAAATGATGGAATTTGACCTACTGTAAACCTCTCTCTTTAAGTGTACCCAGTGATTTTGCCACCAAACAAAACTGACAAAGCAATAAATTATTCCTGCTTTGGCAGGAAACACATCTAAGCATTTACTTAGGGTGTTTCCAGACATTGGCTACCACTGCTGCAGAAGCAACAAATGTAAGGTCAAACTAGATTATATGTTTGCAGGTCCACTTGCAAAAGATATACATCTACTAACAAATCACTGACACAATCAAAAAGTTATGCCTTTCCAAGATCTGAATCACAAAATGTATCTCCAAAAACAAACAAACAAAAAACACCTGATAACAGAAAGGACTGACTTTCTTATATTCAATTGCTTTCTAATAACAGGTATGAATGTGCAGAATTCACTTACATTAAGACATTTAACACCTTGTTCTTCATTTTGTGTAATTTAGCTACATTTATTGGCATGTTCATTGTTGCAGGAGACTGCTTTGCTGTCGCCAGCAAATATTCACCAGTCTTTTTAAAAAAAGAAATCCCAAAGAAAGGTTCATTGCAGGGAAAGATTGATTACCCCTTGAATGCACAGCTATGGCAGAGACACTGGGTTGTACCTAATGGTCTTGCTCGGCTAGAGAAGTCCCAACCCTGTCAAGCCGATTAAGGCTGTGCTGAGACTGCCATGAAGAGGGGAAATAGCTGAAAATAGTTTCCCTTCTCTTTCCTTTGTCAGAAGCCTTACTGTCAGCTAAGGGACATTTATTAATTTCATCAGATCCTTTTATTAAATAAAAGAATTAAAGCTATGTTCACATAGCCTTAAATCATTCAGAAATTTACTTTGGTTTTAAACGACATCACCAGTGATGGCCAACAGTTATCATGCATGACATATCAATGCATCTGAACCAGGACAGCTCTCTCACACCCTTTGAATTTCTGTAGGTATTACTGGTTTCAGAAATAAATCTAACACCTTAGTTCCATCAGCTCTACTTGGAGGAAACTCATTAATTCAAATGTGATTTCTTCTGAGCACATGTGCTTAGGATCATAGCCTTAGGCTGTCATAAGAGAAAAAATTAGACTTCACAAGTAAAAATTATTTTTAAAAATCACCAAGCAGATATTGCAAATCCCAAGGTGAGGCAAGTGAGCTTTCAGTACAAAAGCAGATTAAATTCTGTATCTAGGCACAGAACTGAAGTCACTCAAAGGATGTATGTGAGAGACATCTCCTCCCTGCAAAGGCTTGTTTCCCATAAAATCCTTTCTTGATTACTTGTGCGTAAATAGGTTGAGCTAGCTATGGGATTGGCGGACAGGGGGAAAGAAAACTGACAACCAATCCAACAGAGATGTAGCCTGAGCAAGCAAATCTGTTTAAAGAAGAATCCTGCATGTCTTCCAAGAAGTTACTGGGAAATCCCGAAGCTGTCTTAAACATCGGATTTATTCATCCTAGATTGACGCAGCCCATGATACTTACAGTTACGTTGCCATGTAGAGGGTGTTCCAGGGGCACAGCGGAATCCAGAGACAGGCCCCTTCTTGCCCAGTATTTACTGGAGAACATCATCATTGCTGGCTGCATAGTGGCCTGTGCAATTTTCTCTCTCCACAGCAGGGGGAAACTGGCTTCAGGTTTGCCTGCAGAGAGCTGTCCCCAGTTCCTGGTGCTGAACAAGGAGCAATCTCAGATTTCCCCCCTGGTGAAGGTTTTTATATGCCTAGGCAAGAACTGATGGAAGGCTGATTAGGAGAGCCTCGCTAGAGCTGGCACCTTTAAAGCCCCACAGCGGCAGGGAAATATTCTTTTCCACACACTGACCGTGCTCTCTTCCAAACGCAGGATATTAACTAGCAATCCCAGGCTGCTGGCTGCTTCTTGCAGATGCTCCTTTTGTCAGAAGTTGATAAGCTTTGAACGTTAGCTGCAATGTTTTTAATAACTCATTGCAGAGTTGGCAATGGGTTTCTTTGCCGAAGGAGGACAGTGCAACAAACTTGGATAAAACGTTGGTACTGGAGTTTGATATTTAAGGCAAGCTGGGGCGCCTATATCTGATGCTGCCACAAACAAGCAACATATCACCCAGATCACTCCATCCCAGAGTAAAGATTGCTGATATTTTACAAAAGGAATGAAAAGGGAAATCAATTTGCATTATGTTTGTTTGCCGCTTTTCACAGTGGCACTCTCGATAGCTATATTCCGCTCCTCCAAATGCTCTGAGGAACCAATTGATCTGGTCAATTCAATTAATCTGTGAAGATTAATGATGAAGTTGTACAAACAAGACTGCTTCTCCACCACCTCTCCAGCTTGATTTGCCATGATCTGGCTACAAATGATAGCTTCAGTATGTCAATGAGAAAATTGACATTTTTTTAAAAAGGGAGGGGGAGATAGAGGTTTGCCATCAGTCATTATTAGACCAATGGCAGACTTTTACTACTTTAGGATTAGGCTACCAGAAATGTAAATTGTTATCAGTTATAATGCAAGCATGCCCGTGCAAAATTACCTTCCATATTTACATAAATGTAACACAGTCTGGAAGGGGTTGGGGGTGAGGAAAGGTTATTTTTACTCATTCCCCACCCCTCTGGCAGCTCTCTAAAAGGCTGCTCTGGAGGCCTTGGGGACCCCAGAAAAACGTGAGAGGTGTGGAAGGTTACAGGAGGAATTGTCAAAACTGCCTCTCACATTATTGGCACAGATGTCTCACCTTTTATGACTGCTAAGTTTATCTTGTTGAATATGATCTTTTTTAATAAGGAAAACAATCTTGTACAGTTTTAATAGGATAGACTATAAATTTCAATAAATAACAATAAAATTAAATTTAAAAAAACCCTACTGTGCACATACAAATGCTTGCTGGTGCCTTTAGAAGCTCCCAGACCTGCTGTCACACTTAAGAGTGTATAGCACATTTCTGTGAAAGGAACTTACACCAGTTCTACTGAAACTTTAAAAAAAATCACAACTAAGATCTAAAGATAACTATACATACATGCATGCATACATATGGAAGCCACACCATGTAATGTTCTCCCCATTTCCAGCAGCAACACATGTAGATATTCATTAAATTGTGTGAAGTTCTCAGTATCATAAAATGGTATTTTATTCTATGCTCTGTGTACAACATAATGCAAATGCCAAAGCTCTATGAGGGAACAAGGGCAAGTGGTTCAAAAATTATTTCCTGTAAGCAGGAAATGAAAGCCTACAGCTGCTGGGCCTTGAATTGTTGGCATTTGCAGAATGGGCTCTTTAGTTATTAACTGATAAAAGATAAGCACGCCGGTGATATTAAAGCCAAGGACTGAAGAGATTTCACCTTCTGATTTATGTGCTCATAACTGAAAGTTGCCCCAGTTCTTTCATGTTCATGCAGCAACAACTCACCTTTTTCTTCTAAAGTGACCAAGTCCATATATACAACATTTGCTTTTAACTCATTATGGATTTTGGTTTTCACCCCAGAAAGAGACATCTGAGAAAAACAATCCTTCACAACACTAGGAAGCAATTTCTCCCCCACATGCTGATGAATTCGCCTCTTGGAGAGAACTGTCACCCCTTAACATAATAATTTCCTTCCGCCCCTCCTGCAGCAACCCTGATTAAATAATAATAATAATAATAATAATAATAATAATTTATTTATACCCCGCCCTCCCCAGCCAAGACTGGGCTCAGGGCGGCTAACAACCAAGAATAAAAACAAGTTGATTAAAATACAATTTAAAAGATTAAGATACAACATTAAAACATTAGGATGCAGTCTGTTCATAGGAGGGGAAAGGAAAAAGAAAGAGGGGGAGGGAATCAAACTGATTCTAAGCCAAAGGCCAGGTGGAACAACTCTGCCTTACAGGCCCTGCGGAAAGAAATCAGATCCCGCAGGGCCCTGATCTCATGAGACAGAACATTCCACCAGGCCGGAGCCAGAGTTGAAAAGGCCCTGGCTCTGGTCGAGGCTAATCTACCTTACGGCCTGGGACCTCTAGGGTGTTGCTTGTATGTTGTCTGCACCAGGGCTGTGATCTCTCCAGGAATGCTCAAGTTAATACTCAGATTAAGTGGCTGCCTTATAAAGATGGCTTTCAGCAGGAACCCACATTGCCAAACATGATGCAATTCTATTGAAATCACTGAAACGGAAGTGCTTTGGTTGCATACACAGTTCCAATGATTTCAAGGGGACAAGACGATTCAACTCTCTCCTCATTTTTGTCAACTGCAAAGTGTTCTGCCAGAGGAAAGTTAGATAGCTCTTCACTGTATACTTTAAATCTGTGTGTAAATCACTGAAATCTAGGAAGGCTTTTCCCCACACAAGATTCTCTTAATTGTTTTAAATGAAAAACATTAAGTAATTTTTGCATTTTATTTCATAATATGTACAATGGTTCTCAGGAACAAATACAACTGAATCTATGTCAGATCCCACATTACTATAAAAATGGAAAGAATGGTATATAAGCATAGAGTTTTCTCATATGTAAGTCATTTATTAAGGACAATGGGCACAATCCACCATAAGAATCTTCCATTCTATCTGTGCCCTCCATGGGAGCTTATGCAGAGCTACATGAGGGAAACACACCCAACATAATTAGTACTTTGCATTTATTTTTAACTGCTTTTATTTAATCAAGTAGTCTAGCATAAAGGCAGTTGAAGCCGATTTTTTAAATCAGTTACTATACTATTCAGCAAAGAAACGTTATTCGTTAAGTAAGCGAGAAAGCCATTGTAAAAGTAATTCAGAACCTGAATATAGCCTTAAGAAAAAAAGATTTTTCAAAAATAGGCAGGTTTACAGTTATGTATTAAAATTTGGTCAAAATTGCCTGAATGAAAAGCCAAGTTTACTTAGTCAAAAATAGATTTATCCTTTAATACTCACAAGTTTGAATATGTAACTAATTTATACATACATATGTATAAGTGTAGAGGTGTTAAAATGTAAAAATGTACTGTTCAGCCAACCCCCTGGATTACAAAATTCAAGATCAGGGAACTGCACAAATGTCAATCTCCATTGCAAATCTACATTCAACAACCACAAATACTTAACAAGTGTTTTTGTAAACATTTGAGAAAGGACATAATCCTTTTTACAAAGGATTTACAAAGCACTGTTTTTGAAGTTAGCATCTTTTCACATAGGAAATAGTATAGAAGACTTTTGAATCTTATGATATCCAAGAACCATCCATGCTCAAGACTTCTCAAAGTAAAAGTGATACAGAAGCATTTATTTCCATGCCATTCACATTCATCTGATTTCCATTTTACCAAAAAGGGGAAAAAATGCACTTGGCTACAAAAGTATTAAGGAATGTTATCTGGGGGAGGGGGGGAAGGCTACTTTGGTAGAAGAAACTACAAAAATAATTAGGTCATGTTGTAAAGCTTTGATGTAAGAGTATTACAGTACATGATCTGTTTTCCAAATCTTTAAAGCTTAATCAAAACAAAAACTTAAATATCCACCTCAAGTGCTTGAAAGAAACAAAACAGGTATAATAAAGTGTCTCTTCAAAAATGCAGACAAATTATTGTGCAAGATTCAATCTGTCAGCACGGTGGGGGTCACTTGCTCAATACTTTCACTTGTTCCATTGGCAGCAGCAACAGGCTTGGAGATATTTGGATAGGCTGGTGCAGAGTGACTTATTCCACCAGCAGTTTCATCTTCCCCAGTGTCTGAATCTGGTGTTGTTGCAGCACTGTTCTCTATTCCCAAGATCTCACAGACTGCTTGAGGCAATTCCTACGAAGAAGAAAAAATGTGGCACACGTTGCTCTTTTAAGTTGTTGCTGCTGTTCTTTAAAGTTAACATGCTAAGTACACAAGAAGCATATCCTTAAATGCATGTAAGTTTGAGCTAAAATATGCCTTTTCTTAATTCTAGAAGGAAAATATGTTCAATAAGCAGTTCTAGGATGACTAGAAAATCCGTATCTTTTAAAACTGGTATAGGTAGATTTCACTTTATCTCTGGGCACAGTACCATTCTGCAGTTTATGACATCATTATTTACTTCTTAAATTTGCATACCACCCTTCATTCAAAGGCATCATAGGCAACACACACCGTAAAGGGTTTGTTTCAATAATTATCAACCTGGTTAAATCTCATTTGTTTATGCAAAGCTCATGAAATATGCTTGACTTTTACCTTGCAATTTATCATCTGCATAGAAACGGCTTCTGCTTTGCAAAGTACGTCTTCAACATCCATTTTCATAGACAGTTCATTGATATGCTAAAACGGAACAAAAAGAATGACGAAGTGCAACCAAGGATGGAGGCGAGTGTCATGCTAAATGCACAGCTTTCTGAGCCACGGAACTTTGGCTCCTAGTGTTAGCATAACCTTAAGTAAAGAAATGCTAACTTGATTAATACACGCGCATAATTAGCATCTGATTAAGATTGCAATATGTAAAGCATCTGGTTAAGATTGCAATATGTAAATTATGTCTGCTACTTGGATTTGTAGTTCCTCAGCACTGCACCTCCCCAGGCTCAGGGGAAACCACCCAACAAAACCACCATCTCTATGCAGC